TTATATCGGGTGGAATTGATTTTGAAAGAATTTTAGCTTTCAAACTAAAGACTGCGTCTATCGTCAGAAAGTATTTACTTACAAAGAAAGAGGTGCTAATTTTACAAAATTGACTTGTATTGTTCAAAGCCGCTACCACATCACGCGACTATGTCTATTCTTTACAAATTATTATCCACGACTGGCAGGATGCGTGTCGGTCGGTACGTAAGTATAATAACAATATGACAATAGTCGGAAGCGTTTCCGCGGTGGTCGCTAATTATGAGTGCCAGTCAGGCCGGCCAGCGTGACGAGATCCCCCAATGAAAAGAAGCACTGTGGCGGTCTTGCTAATCACCGTGGCGGTGTCAGACCGGTGTGGCGGCAAATCGAAGCACTGTGGCGGGACCGCCACGCTGTTTACATCCTGGGGAGAACACTGAGCTTTCACTTCACTTTTTCTATAAATCTTTGAAGGAGCTTTTAGCTGCAATTTTTTAAATATTTTCATATTTGTTAATTCATTTGGTACTAATTGGGGTAAAATTAAAAACCTACATATAATGTGAAAACAGCGTCTAGACAGCTGTTTTGCACGTTATTATATTATCATAACATCTGTTCACTTATCTGGTGAACAAAAACAATTTGGCTCAGTGTTACATAGATTAACAAAAATTACATAGCTCAAGCCTTGTTTATGCAAAATGATGTTGGTCTGCTAGTTGACTACTGTATTCTCACTTTATAACAGCACTTATTCAACTGATGGCAGCCGCTGTTGCCAAGCGAGATCTGGTGTACTTTACATTTAATGATGTAAAACTAGCAGAAGATATCTACAATATGCATGAATATATTAAAGCAGGAGGCCTGTCTGTTGGTAAGTCACAGGGGTCACGGGGTCACGGGGTGGATAACTGTGATGTCTGTATGTCAACCTAATGCATGTCCTTTTTTTTTTAATTTTATAGATATGAGTTCTGTCGGTATATTATTTTATCATTATCGCCACCTTGTAGGCTTTTAAAATTACTCAAAATGCCAGAAAATAAATATCATAGAATAAAGTATATGAAAAATGAATAATTAAATATGTACCCCGGTATATATATTAAATTTTTCCCCTGCACATATTTGGGAATTGAGTCCTAAGCGATAACAACGCACCAAAAAAATGCAAAGGCTCATGGTACAGTGTAGATGTTTATTTGTAAACGATGACACACTATGGCTGTCTGTCGTATACGCAGGACTTTAATCAGATTGTGTGTACCATATGGGTATTTTTTAGTTCTATGGTTGCTAGGTTACTGATCCTGTCGTCATGACAAAAAGGGAGGGTAAATTTTATAATCAATTGTTCTTGGATTCATTTACCTCTGTTTTTAACAAATGTACAAGGAAATAGATTATATTTTGTTTTGTTATATTGCGTGTTGATGAATAAAAAATGCATTTTTCATATTTTATGATCATTTCATAAATAGAGAATCAATATGTTTGGAACAAAACTGAACAGGGAAAAAATGTATAATGAAGTATCTGCCTAAAATTTTATAAAATGAATCAACATTGATCACCCTTCCCTTTAATGTGTACACTAATCAACCAGAGAACCCACAACTCGGCTACTGGTAATTTGATTATATGATTTTGATATGAATATGGGCATTGATGTAGTTCTTGTATAGAATTATCATTGGGTACATATTACCCAGGGTAATCACCATTAACCTTTCCACCACCTGACACCTGAAAAGGTTAAGGAAATGAAATTAAATAACATGTCATACCATTATAAAATACCAAATATTATGGAATAGAAAAAAAATGCAACATAAACAATATGACATTTTTTATGATAACAGTACATTATTGATTTTATTTCCAGGTGAGCTGTGGAGTGCAATCAAAGAATTTCATGAACATTTTTGTACCGGAAGGAAGAAGACTGCGCCCCTTACACTGTATCAGTACATACACAGACGGTATAGTGATTCTGACAGTTCAACTGGGGAAGACGATGTCTCTACCACACCATGGGAAAAAGATAGTAAACT